AGTCGTAGTAGTCGTAGTAGTAGTAGTAGTAGTAGTAGTAGTAGTAGTAGTCGTAGTAGTCGTAGTAGTCGTAGTAGTAGTAGTAGTAGTAGTAGTAGTTGTTGTTGTTGTTGTTGCAGTAGTAGTAGTAGTAGTAGTAGTAGTATCAGCAGCAGCAGCAAGTAGCTGAAGCAGTAGGTTTGCAGAGCTTTTCTGCACTGGTACTAACGGTAGTCGTCTTGCAGTAGGTGCCCATCATGTCAGACAAATATGAAGCGCAATGCCCACTTTGACTGTCATGTGACGGTTTCAAAACCTGCGCGGAGTGTAACATCCTCGACAAGTTCTCTCTCCAACACATGCCTTAGTTTGACGCCCTGTTGAGATACTGCACTGGATGAGGATCGCATGCGCCTCCGGACCCAAAGCCGTGTGTAGATTCTCGCACAAATGCCAAAGCGCCAAGGATAGCACATAAAGTCAGGGTGAGCCTGTGCTCACGTGTAGTGCCATTATCATGCCTTCAAGATGAGAAGACAGCACGTACCTTTGAAAATGAAGAGACATTCCACGGCATGATTGTGGCTGTCCTCCTAGGAGCTCTTATATGCAGGATTTTGCGGTTTAGGTTGACATGACCGCGGTGGAACATTGCGCATTCAAATTTAAACTCGAATGCCAGATCTCCAACCTCGGTAATACATTCGGCCATCCGACCCTGCACCCCGAGTTCGAAACCTCTGAGGTGGAAGTGCAAATGTCCTATGCGGTTAAGACGACGCAGGCGGCCTTCTGACGTTAATTCAGGGTTTCCTGGGTGAGGCTTGACCAAGGGTTGCCTGGGAACCAAGCTTAGCAAGCAACACACCTTCAAACGCGAAATGGACCCTTACGTTGCTAGAAATAATAGCATGTATACTCAGTAGACTTAGTATGAGTCAAGTTTTGATTGCGGTGCAGCCATCAATTCTAACGCATGTTCGAACTCTTGCATCCGTTTCGCTCTCAGTTACGTCGGAGCCGGCTCAAAGTCCGGAGTTGTTAGAACATATTCTAGTGTGGGGCTTTGCTTCTGTAAGTGTTCACTGAGCCTTTTGGAGCCGTTCGTTTGATGGTTCCATCGCGAATTGCTCAACGCCGGGCCCAGAGTCCTTCAACCATTAATCTTCAACCAAAATTTTGGATCTCTACCCTGACACTCCCGGATGCCCCCCTTATCCACCGCTTTCCCATGGAAGGTGGCAATCTCGGCCGGGAGCGTGGTTGACTTCACAGGGGCCGGGTCCCTGGAGTTCGCAACAATAACAACAACAATAACAGCAACAACAGGTAATACGCATTCTTTTCGCAGGATGACTTCTGAACATACTGAAGAATGTAGATGGTACTTGCCTGGTAACTCTTGTCAAAAATGCCAACAGTAAGCGCGGTCCTCTTCGTCATTGGTGTTACCCATGCTTTTGTTGCTATATCACTGAGAACGCTACTGTGACCGTGTGCGTGCATATCTGTCTGCACACATACGGACCACGGACGGACGGACAAACAGACAGACAGCACGTCCATCCATATTTCGCTGCATGCAGACATGCATGCGTACATACATATACAGAATCACACAGTCTCGCCAGGCGAGCCTTATAGTGTTTGCGATCACGAAAGCACCCTAAGCGTGCTAAACCCTTAACCCGAAGTGGACTTGTCAGATGCGCAGCCGAGGATGCCATCGTCAATGCGGCGAACAGAGGTGGCCTCGGCGGTGGCGGTGTGGATGGCGCCATCAACAGCGCAGGCCGGGTCGGCTTGGCGATATACCCAGGGGATGTGATTCAGGTTTCACAACCCTAGATGCCGTCACGGGCGGCATGCGCCGCAGCACATTCCGTCCAACCCTGATCCCTTATGGGTCCCGAAACGTGTACGACGTATTCGCATTTGGGCAGGCTAAAGTCCATGATTATTTGTTTGCGGATAAGGCAGATGCCTGCCTGCAATCGATCAAAGCATTAAAGAAGCAAAGGTTCAGTCCCGAATTAGTGCCCCCTTGTTTCATGTTTTGTTGTTTAGGGTGGTAATTAGGGGAAACATCTATCCGCTGACTGGTCTCTAATAGGTTTCCGAGCATATGAAACCAGGACCCAATCATTGCATGGCAGCTTGGCAGTACAGCTAAGCAGTGCTGAACATGTCACTCTTTCCCATAACCCTAAACCCTAGACCCCATACACAAGTGGTGCGAGATAACAGAGTTGGGCGGCTTTTCTCTTATCGGCCCACAACGGAAGGTGTATAAAGCCGCTCGACAGCCCTGATTATAGTACTAACAAGAAGTATTATAATTTAACAATACGAATAAGAAAAAGAACAATTGAGATAGTACAAACAAAAATAAGAATAGTGGCAATACTGCGAGTAGGAGGAAGAATAGTAGCAGTAATACGAGTAAGAATAATAGTAATAGCAACAACACGACTAAGAGAAAAATCAATAGCAATAATACGAATACGAAGAATATCGATAATAAGAATATTGATAATAGTGCCCTCTTGCACAGGCGGGCCAAAACTCGTTGCCGCCCGTCGGGAGCTGTCCGTGCCGAGTCTCCGATCTAGGCGGCTTACGGTTTTAGGGTTTCGAGTGTGGGGTTTGAAAAGTTTATAGTTTCGGGTTCGGGTTTAGGCTTTATAGGGCCAGTTTAGGGTTTAGGAATTTCTGGGGTGCGCGTGTTGCGTTGGGCCAGTCATGGCCCGAGCTCCTGCTCAGAGCCCCTGCCCTCTAGTGTTGTGGATATTCGTGTCCTAAATCCTAAACCCAAAACCCAA